CTCCTAGTCCATGCCTTCTCCAGATTTCTTAACAGTCGGTGTTGTCCATTACGACTTTGGCGTTTAGATTGTTATAGTGTGTACGTGTTGACCATATTTAATGCGTCTGTTAATCACTTTAGTCTGCGAAGGTTCACTATCTTATCGATCTGCTTGCTATCCTTACTTAGCACCTCAAATCTAACTTCATCACTGTTTACTCAGTGGTTCCAACATTCACAAGAAATGCTTCAAATTCATCACCCATGTATATCCTCTATTTCTAAAAAATTATCATATCACAATCACAAAGTACTTATGCAAACATTTTCATTGCAAACTACTTAATTAAGTGAAATGGTCAACTGAAACTAAGGTCAACATCCTGAATTCCGCTCGAATAAACTTTATTTTTGTAAATTTGTTTCGGTCTATACTTATCAGTGTCTGTTTTCACACAGAAATTCTACTTAATTTATCGAACTAAGTTTAAAGATTAATTTTATTTGCATATATTGCAATAATAAAAAAAATTAATTTCTGCAAAACATACATGGTTACATTTTTAATTAGAAATTGTGAGTAAATGAAGTACAAAAATAGGGTCACAATGAAGACATGATAACAAGTATACGGATAATATAAAAGTCAATAACTTGACATTTGTAAAGGTTGAATGATTTCCAGATGCCCTGATACAGTCGAGGGTGGGGAGAGTCAGTTCTCCCTTTCGAAATGCTCTCACCTGGTAACGTGCATACAATCACTGCCAGGGAAGTCCTACTTACTTCATTCTCGCTCCACTGGTGTTGTTTATGAAATTGAGAGGATGAATAGCGAATGTCCGGCGCTTTAACCGGGTTGGTGTATATGGAGGATCCAAGTACGGCAGTTGGAGAGCCCTGATTCTAAATCAATGGTGCACATGGGCTCTTAGATCCAAAGGGAACAAATGACGTATGAACCTATTGTTGGTTACCCGCTATCATGTGACTGCATCTCCTTACGTTGTTCCACTGTGTTGTGGATCAAACGTTAGATCGAAGTCTCCGTGTGAGCAGATACGAAATTTTGTTGAGTCTTTACCATAAATTAAAAAATGAGCACACTTTTTTGTGGGTACTTATAAACGTTGACCATATTATTGCTATAATTACATTTGTAACTTAAAACTGTTCATTCATTTGAAGTGCGTATAATTTGACGAAGTTCTGGCTACATCAGAATTGTGAAGAGGTGGTCAGTTTATACCGTAATACTTTTGCAGAATAAATAGTTGTATAAAACTTAGTTCTGTGGGTTTATCACAACTCTACTGTCATGACCCTAGAGATTTTATTAGATATGCCAATGAAGACACTGATATAGTCTCAAAAACACAAGACGAACCCTCTAAACAGAAAGAAGTCTTTCACACTTGGATTTTCAACTAAAGTATAACTCTTAAACAGCACTATTTTTGTTGATTTAGTTACTGACTGTACAACTCTTCCCTCATTATCTCTTCACAACGTTAACGCTTTGTGTGTAGGGTTAACCATACCAGAATTTATAGTGGGTTAAAAAATTGATAGACAAATGAATAATCTTCATAGTTTAAATCATTAACCGAATTAAAGTAGACCACTATTAAGAACCTGGAAGAATCGAACGGCCGTTTCACCCTAGGATGAGACTAGTCGGCAGTGCACAATCGCGACCACGTATCCAGGAATCAAGTCTAAGATTTCGCCCTCATATCCGAATGCATAACCTCTAGGCCACTGTTGGGATTCATTTGGATAAGTTATAGTTGATCACTCAACTAAAAGAAGACTAATTTTCACACCTTTTCTTACTAGACTATAAATAAATTCGTCCATATAGTACTATTTTACGTACTTGTTTTTTTGAACTATTTCTAATATGTAACGTCTTGGCATAAGTACTTATAAGTTCTATCAAAATTCTTACTAATTCAAGCAAGTTTTTCTTCATTTAAGTTTATGTGTTAAATAATCCTTCACATAATTCATAAACTTAATTCTTTATTTCATTTAATTTCGTTTTTCGTTTTTCTCACCAGTGTCTCAGCAAAGTCCTAAGATTATTAATGGGTAGACCGAAAAAACTCGAAAAAAGCCAACAAAGGCTCTGAAAACACTGAGCAACATCTTATCCAATCAGCGTTCACTAGAAACTAGAAACACCTAGAAAGTGAAAAGGTGTATGTTGAGTCATATGTCGAATTTTCCGGGAACCCAAGGCCATCTAAAATACTATAAAAACCCTAGATTTATTGTACGTAAACGGTATATGGAGTAAAGCGATTCTTCCATATCTCGTGCTTTTTCTCTCGTTTTCAAGTCACTGTGTAGATTTAGCCTGAGGGGTTACCGGTAAGAGCTTATGAAACAGAATCTGGTGTTCAATTAGAATACTTATCAATTATTAGTGATGCATTATAACCTACTAGAAGGTCTAATTCACAAAATAACAATTAATTCGAAATATGTCGTAACTTAGTTTCAGATATTCAGACATTGCAAGCTGTTTATCTAAAACTAATTTAAGAAAACATGTTCCAATGGGTCTGAATCACTTTAATATGATTTCCTTTTACTCGTTTCGGAAAGAAAGTGTTGTTGTTTTTTTTAAATTTTAAAATGATGAGGAAGATTGACAAGTTATTTCATGTAGACTGATTCAATTAGAGAATTCTCATTGTTCTTTTACAGAGAACATTATCAGCACTGACTGATTGGTTTAGTAAATCTTGAATCATGTTTTACCATAATAATAATTATATATTTATCTTGTTTATGATTAATATCACCAATACATTATATTTTTATTGTCATTAATATCTATGCATTAGTTAAAAGAAACATTATTTTGTTAATTAGTCAAAATCGACATGAAGTATGTCTGGTTCTATACTATTTACATAAACAACTAACGATTGGCATTAATCATTTGCTCAAAACAGGCTCTTCTTTTATAGCAATATACCACCATCATATAAAGAATTACAGAATAATATTATCCCTGATTTCATTGAGATTATAAGAAAAAGAATTCTATCTTATATATATATATATATATATATATATATATATATATATATCCATTTTTGCATTAGTTATCTGAATCTTCCCCTTGATGTTTAGGACTGCAATTGATCAGTGTGTTGTTGGCATATGTGCATCCAATGTGGATTGCCTCAATATTGCTTTAAGTCACCAACATTATAAGCAAAGATGGATGGTGGATAACAGTCGAATCCAGGAGGTGTGTTTCGTCTTATTTTTGGGACTCGTTAGCTAGATGTACTTTCATCCCATCAAAGGAAATATTCATACAACCAGTGGAAAATGAATTAAACTTCACAACATTACACAAGCTAGTGGATAACAGGACTCAGTAGCTAAGTGGATAACACTATAATGTTTGAAACGAAAAGTAATAGGTCCGAGTCCCGTAGAAATCATCTATCTGACGGGTCCTAAATAGGACGAAACGCGCATCTTGAATTCCAGTGCTACCCACCATCCAATTCAGCTTATAATATACATATTGTTTAATAAGTACACTATGCGGCGTAAAATAAAATTCATGTAGGTTGGATTACTTAACAACTGATCTAGCTAATTGATTTTTAATCTGAAAATGTTTTTCATTTACGTAAGTCTAAAATCTGAGTTACTTACTATAATCATCTGACGACTTTTCACTTTCATTAGTGACGTAGTACAATTTAGGAAACTGAATTTGTTGATCAGTCTAAAATCTATCCAAAATAGACAATTACACAATAGTGATTTAGTATTCTATTTTTTTGTTTTTCGTGCCCCAATTTAGATGTTTTCGAGATTTTTTCACGAATCGAGTTTTCATATTTCATTAAAACTTTTCTTAATATTACTAATGTAACCTACTAAAGAATTACAGAGATTATCGTTATAAATTAATCGGTCATTATTCACTGACATATTCGAGGCTTGTTACTTTGTTGGGGCTGATAATATGTCAAGCTCAAATAGGTTATTCTAGCTTCTGAACGGATCTATTCATTCTCGTTAAGCTACATTTTTACGCTAGCACTTATTCACTTATCAACCTTAACTGTTTTTATGTAAGCGTATGTGTGTGTATTTCCTGTTTTACACGTCACATGTCTGTAATCTATTTTTGTCTGACTATAAATATCGAGTCACTCATGTTCTAGACGAGGTGACTCACTTGCCTTCTCCACTACGCGTCGTTTCGTTTTGCTTCGATTTCCGATCAACGATTGCATGAAATTTACGTATTCAAAAATTAATTCTCATATTTGGCTTATTTAATTTTGTTATTCATTAACGCGATTTAAGTCAATAACTGTATACGAGAATTGGCGGCATATGTATTTCAATAACAATCATTCATAATATTCAAATAGAGTCAGATTAAGGGTCACGAAAGCTTCAGTAGTCACATTTATTTGTACACAGACAAGTTGCATAATCACCTGTATATAGTTGTAACTGTAAAGGTTACATATGAAAATATAAATAAAAGTTCCTTGTTATTGCAAATTTCCGGTTTCGTAAAAAATCCCATTATTAGATTACTGTACTTCTAAAAATGAATATCTAAACAAACACGGACCACTAAACAGTACTGAATAGGTATCTTTTTCTAGTATGAGATTCCTTAGCACTTACCGCCCCTAACCTTGATAGAAGTAGAATCAAAAACATACAAACATAACATAAGACCACCTAGTTTATAACAACAAGTCTACTATTATTATTCACCTAAACTGGCAATTCTTATTTCACACCTAATAAAGATAATCATCATCGGTTACATCTCTCAAGAGATGAATTGCTAACATTACAATGGGAAACTGTTACCAATATTTTGAAAGTGATTAATTGGTTAAAGTCCGTTCTTCGAGTCAATCATCATTTAACTGCTAATTGTTCTTTCACATTCCTGAAATAAGCAATTAATTTACTAATTGTCTCACATTCATTATTGTTTCTTTTTACAATTAGCTGATCATAAAATATCAAACATCACCATTTCACAAAACAATACAATTGATAATACTAGAACCATATGCAAACCGGCAATTCAAACTACAAAGACTCCAACAACATTACCAAGGAAACTGAATGCAGATAATGATGATGATAATAATACTAATAGTTTCTTATCCTTATATACCAGATGCATTAAAAATCCAAATAGACGGAAGAAAAAACAGTTAGATAATAATAATAATAACAGCAATCATAATCATCAATCACATTTTTGTTTAAATTTTTGCCGAAATTGTTCATCAAATACACCTTCTTCTTCATCGTCATCATCATCATCATCATCAACCGCTACAACTGAAGCGGGGGCTGCGGTAGCGGTTGCAGCAACAACAGGACGTAAGGAATCGAATAGTTTTTCGCTTCCATTTCCACTGGATAATAAAAGTCATGACAGTTTAATTAGTTACTCGTCAAAAATTACTAATAACACTAATTTTACTAATGATATTTCCAGTCCTGGAACTAAAGTTACACTTACTCCTAATCATACAAATAACATTATAATGTCTGTATCCAATTGTTCAAATCAATTTAATAGCATTTCAGTTGATTCTAATAAAAAGGATAATCATAAAATTGATGCTCAAAACACATCTGTACATATAAATAAAAGGCAAACAGCTGATAAATTTCATTCCAATACTACAGAGTACCAAAGTAAATCTAACATGACCACTACTGTTATGACATCTATACCTACAACAACTACTATTGAACCTATAAATGTTCATAAGAAGATTAATCCATCTTTAATGATCGCTGATAATTCAGCATACTTTAATGATAATCATGAAAATTTATTAGAAATATCTAAACTTCCAATCTATAACTCAACAAAACTTTGTATTAAATGTCAAAAGAATATTCAATTAGTTAGTAAAGATTATGAACATATACTACTTTTAACAAATAATCAGGGGAAACATGAACAGATCACTGTTAATAATAATAGCAATATTAACAATAATAATAATGGGAATGGGGATATAGAGCTTACTACTGAAATGATTGATAACATCAAGTCTAAAAAAATTAAAGAAATGGAGTCAGATATTGAAGAATACGTCAAACAGTAAGTATTCATGCATTGGTTCTTTTTTTAAATGACAATTATTGGGAATAGTACATTATTTACAAGATCTGTAAATTGTATTATCCTCAAATTGATTTTAGTTAGTGTACCGGTTAAAATCAAGAAACATTGATGAATGAAGTTTATTAGTTAATGCCAGTCTTTAAAAATACTTTCAACCAAACTATGTTATTTACCAAATTGTTCCTAAAGTTTTAGTGAGAAAATTGTTAGTTTTCAAGCTCAAAAATATCGCAGGTTGTTACCGCTAAAATTAGTTAATCGCTGAGCTATAATGCGAATTGATTGAAGTTGAAACTGTACTATGAGGCTTCAACATAGTGGTCCTAATGGTTAGACATTCACCTTGAAACTTGAAAACATTGGGTTACAGTGATTATACTAGGCAGTATTAGCTCAAAAGAATTCAAGTTGAAACCTAAAAATCAAACCAATCTTCTCAGAACCCTTTCAAGTAAACTATTTACATGATTTACCATCTATCTTTGCTTATTTACAAGATTGTAATTAAACAATGATATATTTATTATAGAAGGGGTTTTGTGGAGATTTAGTATTTATCATTGTTGAAAGCGTGAGTCAATTGAAGCTAGACCATCATGGAAAACCTGGAAACAATGGACGGCCGTTTCGTCCTATTATGGGACTCCTCAGCAGTGCGCATCCACGAACCTGCTCTCGCGAGCGAGATTCGAACCCAGGACCTACCAGTCTACCAGACCTACGAGTCTTAACCGATAGACCACTGAGCTGGCATCCAACGGTGTTAATGTCTAACATCAACTGATCCACGAAGTTGAGCAACCATTCACCAATTGTCTTCAGTGAGTTCCTATCTCACAACAGACATGGTTTTGAACTCCACTGGTCACTGCTTCTCACTAGAGCTCCTAAATATACTTCTCGAAATCACTAGTGAGCATATTATTATATTAATTATAGAAGGGGTTTTGTGGAGATTTAGTATTTATCATTGTTGAAAGCTTCAATTGACTCACGCTTTCAACAATGATATATTTGTTATATCCTAGTGAATAGAATATTTAATTTGTTACATTTCACGTCCTAATCTAAGTCTCTGCTTTAGAGAATAGATAAAATAGTCGAATTAAATTGGCATAAGCTTAACAAATACCAAGAACCAATGCAAAATATTTAATTCAACTAAATTAGATAATGATTAGATCAATGTCATGTAGTTTTGGTTTAAACAATTTTGTGTGTGTATGCGTATATGTGTACTTATGAACTTGTCGCAGATCGTCAATAGTATTATTTTCTACCGCTTAGAACGTCACAAATATATCATTATTTTCTTATTGACACTTTAAACAACGCTCAATTTATTTGAATTTACCAAATAAAACCTTAATAACGATACTTATTATTTATAAGATCATTCAATACATTTAATAGATTTAATATGATATTATTTCAAAAAGTGACCTGTTCTAGTGTACAACACAATTTTCTAAAGTAAATTGAATGTTATCTTAGTGAATTCACTATCAAACATTTAAATCGTCACTAAATGTAATCAAATAATGATTCTATTATAGTTCAATCGTCATTTCATTCTCGGTGTCATAGTTTAGTGAACAAAAACACGAGTGGGGATAATCAAATTTGTTTAAGCGCAAAATCACAGAATGTCTCACTAAAATATGAGAACCATATAGTAAATAGCTTATTTGCAAACTATCAATCAATTGTCCCAATCTTCACTGTTCCTTCTGTAAATATCAGTCCATTGTGATTTAGAAGAACATTGTAATCTCTGGTTAAAGATCGTAAATGATAGAATCCATGAATAGCAACATCATTGTCAAAGATGAATTTATGTTTCTGTGTCTTATAAATATTACATTTTACCATTACTTCATACTTGTTGTTTGCTTCATTTTAGACTATAATTCGTATGTTTGTTTTTTCCATGTTTAAAATTTTATGTGCTTATGAGGTGAAGCTCAGTAACTCTTGGCTATATACTTTGGTCTCAGACCTTATAGTGTGTATAACTGATTTAATTTTCATATCTACCATATCCAGTAAGGGATCAAATATGATTAGAGTTTATTATGGTGTCAATAATCAGATTATCTGATTACTTTTTATCCATTATTGTTTGAACAATGTTCTTTATGTTTGTCATTACAACTAAATGCTTTTTCTGTGCACCTACCTTGTTCATCAATTCACACTCTGTTGACGTTATATAGAAACTTGAACTAATAAATATCTCTTGTAGTTGCTACGTTAAGTATAACAAACTGGTGAACAAACTAGTATTATATGGAAAATAATTAAAGAGACTACAGAACACATTCAATGAATGTCTTGTTCCAACAATGTAGATTCAACACATCACAATGGAACAAACTCCAGAAACTAATGATTCACGATAGGCAGAATTCTTGTGCAACCTATTACTCTATATTTTCAGTATCTGTTAATTTGCAATTTATTATCAAATAGCATCGACGAACGGTACTGATCTAATCGAGATACATTTATGAATTAGAAGGGGTTTTGTGTAGATTTCAGTATTTTCATAGTTGAAAGCGTGAGTCAATTGAAGCTAGACCACCATGGGAAACCTGGAAGCACTAGACGGCCGTTACGTCCTATAGCGGGACTCCTCAGCAGTGCGCTTCCACGAACCCGCCTCATGAGGTTCGAACCCAGGACCTACAAGTCTCGCGCCAGAGCACTTAACCGATAAACCACTGAGTCGGCATTCGATGATGTTTATGTCTAACTTCAACCAATCCACGAAGTTGAGTAAGTTGAGATCGTTGGTGCGCACTGCCGAGGAGTCCCACAATAGGACGAAACGACCGTCCAGTGCTTCCAGGTTTTCTTGGTGGTCTACCTTCAAATAACTCATGCTTTCAACAGTGAAAAAACATCTATAAATTTTTGAATTGTCATTATGGTATATCATCAATTCCTAATATTCTTTCAAAGAAAAGAAAGCTAATGCATAAAATAACTGTGTCGAAAAATTAGGAAATTGATTTTTCAGGTTTCATTAAAATCAAATTTGATTTGGTAGTTCCAAATATATATAAACAAACAATATTGTTTTTATTATTAGACGTTACAGGAATATTTATATGCATATATTTGAAAACATTAAATTAGTCAAGGTTACTTATGAGTTAGTGATAGATTTCTTATATTTTCAAATCACAGTGATCTCAGTTAAACTATCAATGAAACCGGGGATGCACTACACTATAGTTTTATCCTAGCATGAACCTACTCACCAGTGAGGATCCATGGGCCTTCGATCAATTGCGTGAACGACTAACAGAAATTTAGAAACAACAACATTGATCATAAGCAAGTCAGACAAAGGAATGGTGCTTATTGAAATAGACATAACAAATGAACGCATTTTTGAATGAGCCGGCAAAGTTCCGAAAATTCGGCGGCGTTACTGATATAAATATGAAAGCAGAGAAACGACTTACCAATTAACTTAAAGAATTGAAAATTAAGGGAAGAATCACTCCAACCGTTCATGGTTCAAAGACACCCAGGGGGTCGAACACTCCACCACTTTGTGACTCCCAAATTCGAGTATTTTTCGTCCAGTTTTCAGTATGTATATTTTTTCATAACATAAAAATCCCAAGCGCTTAATTCAAATCTTGGATGCATTACACAAATGAATCGGTAATGGAAGCGTTAAAGATGTTTTGAGTTTCATTCCCAAAGAGGAACATTTAAACTGAAAATGTAAACGTATGATATCTCTAGATCTTACTTCTTTACTCTCCATGGCATCAATAATTCTAAGACTATAGTTGAAAGCGTGAGTCAATTGAAGCTAGACCATCATGGAAAACCTGGAAACAATGGACGGCCGTTTCGTCCTATTATGGGACTCCTCAGCAGTGCGCATCCACGAACCTGCTCTCGCGAGCGAGATTCGAACCCAGGACCTGCCAGTCTCGAGCCGAAGCCCTTAACCGATAGACCACTGGCATCCAACGGTGTTAATGTCTAACATCAACTGATCCACGAAGTTGAGCAACCATTCACCAATTGTCTTCAGTGAGTTCGTATCTCACAACAGACGTGGTTTTGAACTCCACTGGTCACTGCTTCTCACTTGAGCTCCTAGATATACTTCTCGAAGTCACTAGTGAGCATAGTAAATACTAAATCTCCACAAAACCCCTTCTATAATTCTAAGACTATTTAATAACCAGATCAATATTGTAATTTCCGGAGATAGTTACAAAGAATTACTTTTGAAATTTACAATGAACGTTCATTTTGTGTCAAATAGACAAATCGGTGGATAGGCTCATTTTAGTTCTATCCTCAGATGATACTATAAACAACGAAACAGAGCTTATTCACAAGATTTTTTAAGAAACACGTGTTCGTAATGTACAGGAAAAGTAGTGACGTTGATGTTTAATAGGAAACCTGAAGCTTTAATTCAGCATTGACGGACAGGACAGACTGACTGAATCAATGACAAAGACGTGTGATGCAGATAACCTCTGGTTATCTTTTTGTAGCCGATCTGTGTTGTTTCCTCAACTAAAAGATAAATTACTTGAATTTAGCACATCCGTGAGTATCCACGAAATAATTTGTTTCTGTAGAGAAAGCTATATTGAGCATGCAACCAGATCATTGAGCTAACGAGTTAGTTAATACCTGCCTTCGTGCATGGGAGAGGTTATGATCAAAGTAATACGCAGTTCCGTTGTCATATTTAATCAATAGAGGTCTTGTAAAAAATATAAATAAATCGTGCGGAATAATTCATCGTGCACTCACTATTTTTCCTTACAGGCTTTGACCTCGTGTCCTACATATAATTGGAACTATATAGATTCCAGCTAACAGCTCAAATTTTCATATTCATATGAAATTTATAAAACTCTAATGTCCTCCTTAGCCAAATTAACCTTGACATACGATTTTATTTATTATTATCTACCATAATCTTTGTT